ACACACACACACACACACACACACACACACACACACACACACACACAAAATACAAACAAATAATATACAAAATTCTGTGCATCTCCTGGGGGCTAAGCCCCCCTTGTCCTTAAAACCTAGTGACACCCCTGTTTTGTAATATGTTGTAAATGTTTTCTTTCCAAAAATACATTCTTATTTATTACAAAAATCTGATGTCGCAGACACTTTCAAGTTGTTCTGCTTCAGTCTTGTGGTTAAAAGCGTGTTACAGCAGCCAGCAGAGGAGCTAAATTTGGAGGTCATTCATGTTGTAATCCTGTTACCTGCTGGTTTTCTCCTTACCCCTGTGACTGGCCTCAATCCTGTCTGTTTTTCTGTCCTGATTCTGTGAAGGCTTACAGGTAACAATTTATGAATCAGACGAGGCAGAAAATATCTGCAGTGATCGTTTAAAATGGTTTTTTTTAGAATAAATTAAACAGATGTGTTTATTGATGAGACACATTAACATTTTTGGCCGGTTTAGATCCTAAACCTGATTTTTACAGCTTGTCAGAGTTTTAAAGTAACTAAATACTAATACTTTGTTACTGGACTTAAGTAGAATTTTKGGGTATCTGTACTTTACTTGAGTAATTATTTTTCAGCCTACTTTTTACTTCTACTTCTTACATTTTCACACACTTATCTGTACTTTTTACTCCTTACATTTTTTTAAAAAGGCAAGAAGTAGAAAGTCGTTGCTTTCATTTCATTTTTGCTCATTTTCATTCCAGCTTGTTATTGTAAAAAATAAATACTATCCATATAAACCGTACCTCCTAGATAAAGTGAATCTATCTGTGGTTAAATGAGAAGTATAAATATATAAAACTCTGATAGTGTGTTAGTTTGTACACAAACAAATCATGTCACACTCCAGCAGGACATAATCATTAAAATAAAAGAACTGTACTTAAGAAGTGTTTGTATTTCATGAATTATATTATTACATTTGGCCGCAGCCCTCAGATTTTCATTTTGTGGAAAAGTTTGGGCAGCCTTGATATATGTATATAAACGGAAACAGCTAGACTAGTTCATCCTAAATATAACATAAATTAATTATATTAATACGATATAGTCATTTCTGCAATTTTAAAATGTCATTACAGAAAAGCTAACTGCTCATTTTAAATCATTACTTTTACTTTTAATACTTAAACGCAACAAATATCAGATACTTTAAGACTTTTACTCAAGTAATATTCCTAAGAGACTATAACTTTTACCAAAGTAATTTTCTGGTAAGACACTTGTACTTTTACTCAGGTATCACATTGTGGTACTTTATACAACTCTGCAGCTTGTCATATGGGGTTCTGCAATAAAAAAAGCCTGATCAGCTCCTCCACTGCAGGATCTTTAAATCAGTTTACTTACGTGACCGCCTTATTTATCCAGTAACCACTTCCCAGGTTATTTGCAGTTTCAGTGAGAGTTTAAACATCCATCTGCCTTGTTGCATTCTCCACAAGTTCATTTAGATCAGACCAGGAGCTGTTAGGAGGCCCGATCTTTGCAGGTGGATAAAAAATAAAATAAATAAAATCCAGCACAAATCATCTCAGAGGTTTCATGTGAAACATTGTACTGAGTGTCCGGCCCTCCTTCCCTTCTGCTGAAGCTCCTGTCTGTGTGTGACCACGCAACCGAAGCACCAAGACACAAGTGGATTACCTGAGTTAATGACTTAATGCGACTAAAAGAGTCTTTATGGTGACAAGCAGGAAGCACGCATCTGTGTACAAAGGGATTTTTGACTCCAGGTTGGTGTTTACATGTGATCTCAGCTGAATTCAATTTAGCAAAACTTTAAAAAGTGTCAAAAATATGGGTTTTAAAGGAGTCCTTGTCATGTTTTATCACTTTTTTTAATTGTAGATTCATTTTACACTGTAGCTCGGCTAAAATTTGAACATAAAATGTTTCGTGGAAACAGATCATACTTTGTGAAGCTAGGGACTGAACCTGACTTGAGTCAGGACCTTTAATATGTTCAATTCAGCAGCGTGCACTCGTAGGCTGGTATAAAAATACCATTAAAAAAGAATAGAATAATAAAGTCTCAATTTAAGGCTAATAATCAGTTAAGTCTTTCACAAATCCTTTCTCAAATTACTGTTAGAACAAACTATCCACATGATTAACTCTATGTTTCAAACTAAATCTTTTATTTTAAACCACAGGAAGCATTTTACTGTTAAACATGAAAACGTAGGCAGAAACCTCAATAAAAATCAGTTCATAACTAATTTGCCAACGTTTGTCTTATTTTCAAGTTATGTGAAACTTTGGGTTTTATTGTTTTCTTTATCCTGTTTATTGATTCCATCACAGCAAAAGTTGAAAACCCTCCATTCAAGATGCTTACAGGGAAATGTTTTACAAACACTCTTGAACGTTGCTGCTCTTGAACGCACCTTTAAAGGTGTAAATAAAGATGGGTGGGAGCTAAGCTAAGCTAAGCTAATGTTTCCTTCTCCGCGTTTTATTCGGAATGTCCTTAACACAAGCATGTGATTGTTGATTTTTTTTCTCTCCCTCGGAGTGCCATTTTAACAAAAGTTAACCAACATCAGGATGATTCTCTTTAAAAAGTTGTTGCGAAACGTTGCGGTTCTTAAACGCGCCTCTAATCGTGTAAACAAACATGGCGTCTGTAGGTGAAGCTAAGGTAATTCGGCTCATGTCTCTTTTTGTAACAGCTGTCTCTGACAGGTGTTTTATYCTTGTGTTTTTATATTGGACACGTTTTACGTCGCTTATTCTAATAAAATGACATGAATGCATTTAAGGAAAAGGAAAGAAAATCCGTGAAATAAAAAAAAAGTTGACGGAAGCTTGGTGGAGGTGAAAGGTCAGGACACCGCCTTCATGTCGCTCTGTTCTGTGAGGTCAGACTTTCATTTACTAAATATAAGATATATTTTATCTTCGTAATTACCTTCACTTTCATAAAAGTTATAGTAATTGTGTTCAGCATTATCACATATTAACAATTTAGTTTATCTGTAGTTGAACTTAGTAAAACTGAATTATTGTGTTTCGTAATAAGTTGTAGTGTTACTGTTTATAAGTTAAATTTGACACTTAGAGATGACGTTATGTCTTCTGCATAAAATRCAAGTTTCTCTTATTAGTTTCAGTCTGTAACAGCTTCTTTAAATGTTAAATCGTTTCTAATAYACAGAGTTGTAAGCTAACTAAGTACAAATACTTTGTTACTGTACTTAAGAAGAATTTTTGGGTATCTGTACTTTACTTGAGTAATTATTTTTCAGCCTATTTTTACTTCTACTTCTTACATTTTCACACAATTATCTGTACTTTCTACTCACTACATTTTTAAAAAAAACACAAGAAGTAGAAAGTCGTTACTTTCATTTCATTTTTGCTCATTTTCATTCCAGCTTGTTATTGTAAAAAATAAATACTATCCATATAAACTGTACCTCCTAGATAAAGTGAATCTAACTGTGGTTGAATGAGAAGTATAAATATATAAAACTCTGATACTGTATTAGTTTGTACACAAACAAATCATGTCACGCTCCATCAGGACATAATCATTAAAATAAAAGGACTGTACTTAAGAAGTATTTGTATTTCATGAATTTATATTATTACATTTGGCCGCAGCCTGTGGTTAGATTTTTATTTTGGAGAAATGCAGCCATGATGTTTGTAAAAATTGAAACAACTAGTACATACTAAATTTAACAAATTAATTATTTTAATACGATATAGTAATTTCTGTATTTTTTTGAGGAAAGTCACCTCCTAATAAATGTCCTTACAGAAAATCTAACTGTTCATTTCAAATCAATACTTTTACTTTTAATACTTAAGTACAAAAATATCAAATACTTTAAGACTTTTACTCAAGTAATATTCCAAAAGGTGACTTTAACTATAAACAAAGTAATTTTTTGGTAAGATACTTGTACTTTTACTCAGTTATCACTTTGTGGTACTTTATACAACACTGCTAATATACACTGCTAAAAAAAATAAAGGGAACACTTAAACAACGTACGCTAAGTCCAAGTAAATGAAACTTTTGTGAAGCACATTCAACTCTGTATAGAACAAAGTACTCAATGCGAATATTTCATTGACTAAGATCGGGAGTTAGCRTGCGTTGTTTAAGTGTTCCCTTTATTTTTTTGAGCAGTGTATTTGTGCTGTGTTGGAGACTATTTCTAATTTCTGACCTGTGACTTAAACAAAATTTGAGCTTTTATTTGCTCGCTTGGTTAATGCTTCCTGTAATGAAGCTAAAGTCCAACCTGAGGATGTTTGTTAAAACATTGTTTCTATCTTATTTCCCACATTTTTACTGTTTGTGCTCAATGAAAACAAATGTTTAACTTTGATGTTATAAATATATTCTGATGTGGCTTCTCTGCCCTGATTTCTGCAATTTTATCATTTGTCAAACATCATCTTTGAGACATTTAAAGCAAATCGTTTGTGAGTCTTGCTTAATTATAAGGTCATCTACCACTATTTCAGCTCAGAGTTTCTACAGTTTGTCTAACAAACATTTATTTGTTCTTGAAAAGAGAGAAAATGCTTCTTCTGACARGGAGTCTTTGTTGTAACTGATCTGAGTTGAATTGATTATCTTTGTGGCAGCAGAGGATGACCAGTTTGTTGCTCACATGCTCAGCGACGAAGATTGATTGAGTTGATAGATTGAGTTTCAGCTGATGATGGTTCTGAGAACAAAACGCTTCACGCTAGATGTTCACCATCTCTGAAAACGACACAGGAACTTGTCTTTGCGGAGTTTCCCCGCCCAACGTGTTGATGGTTTGGCTCATTTTAACTCAGTTATGGTTTTGAGGTGTCAAAAATCAAGAAACTGATGCTATTAATCATTTTTAAGAGTTTATAATGCCACACTGTTAAATTTTAAATGTCTCTTATAGTACTAGAATTTAAAGCTGCGTAATAAAACCCAGAAAAATGTTTGATCCATAAACTCTCAAACATATATTTAATAAAAAAGTGGGACTATCAGACAGTAATAACAATTTAACAACTTTTTGATGTGTTTTATTTATTTAGTTATTGCTGTGTCACCTAGCTGACTGGGCAGATTTCCAGTCCATCGTGAGAAACAAGGCTTTAGAAATATTTATTTTCTTGAATAAAACAAATCTTAACATAAACTGCTCCATTAAACCCATCAACATGGTATTTCTGTTGCAAACAGGTATGATGTTTTTTCTCAATGTGTATATTTTCATAGAAGTCTCCCTCACAGCTGATTAGATTTTCAGTCTCTTTAATAATTTTATTTTTAAATCCATGTAAACATTTTAACTCGGTCATATGAGAAACCAAAATCAGGCAGAAAGGGCATCTTTTATTGCACCGTAATAATCCTTCTTTTCCCGCTTGTCCTTTTGAAACAGGCGCAGCACATTTAGTCCTTTGTCCCCGCCGGCCCGTTTCAGTCCGGACTCATCTCTGTGCGTCTGAGGATGAAGATCGCTCTGCTGGGAGCCACTGGGCAGACGGGGCAGCATCTGGTCCGACAGGCGCTGGAGCAGGGCCACGCGGTCACCGCCGTCGTCAGGAACCCGGAGAAGCTCGCCGTGCATCACGACAACCTGAAGGTAACCAAAGCTCAAAGGTCGGGGCCTCCAACGAGTTTTATACTTAAAGTTGAATCTGCTATTTTTATCTCACTACACATTTTCTTGCTCTTATTTATTATCAAACACCGATAAGTTGATATTCTTTATAATGTTGCACAATAAATACTCACAAAATCACAGTTTGTTTAAATCAGCAGCTTAAAATACAAATAAAATCGTTATTTTGTGGTTTTCTAATTAACAKTTTATGTTTTACTTTAAATTCCCCAACCTGTTATGGGCATTACTTTATTTGTGCACCAGTATTTATGCTGAGTTTAAAAATAAATCACATTTACATCATCATCAAATGTTTTGTAAGGTGGCTTTTTTTTGGATAAGGAACACATATTCTTYATAAACGTTTATCTGGAAAGAATTATGATTTATTAAGAAGCAAACACTAAAACTAATTGGAGTAAAGTTTAGTTTTCTTGGCAGATGATTGTAAACTAACATTTTCAAAYGCTAATTAATGCTAAAAAAAGAAAAATCTACTTTATAAATCTCAGAATAACAACAGGATTTTAATTAAATTTATGAATGGCACAAAGAAAACTGTGCTTGTTGTGATTTTTCCATCTGGATTCTTGTATTTGTGGCAGAACCTGCTGAAGAAGAAATGTTTTTTTACTGGGTAAATAAAAGTTAACTAGCATTAAATTATAACTGACTTCAGCTCCTATAATCTGTGTTGAAATTAAAACACTGTTGCTCATTTTATTTCCCGTTGTTTGTGTTTTCCCAGGTGGTGAAGGCCGATATTTTCTCAGCCGACAGCCTGAAAACTCATTTCCAAGACCAGGATGTGGTCATGTCCTGCCTCGGCTTCCCGGCCTCCTTCTTCTCGGGGGTGACGGGCTACACCGCGTCCATGTCCGCCGTGATCGGCGCCATGCGACAGGCCCGGGTCGGCAGACTCATCACCATGACRTCCTGGTACACGGAGCGTGAGTTTCATTCACATTCCCACAAACTCTCCAGAGGATGACTTAGTCAAACATTTAAAGCCAGTTATCTCATAAAAGAGCTGTTTATTGGTAGATTTATTGTCAGTTTGGAGGCTGTTTGTGTCAAAAACAGAAACAAAACYGTGTAGCAGTTCTCTCAGGTTGTCCTCAGGCTCGTGGTCTTTAAATTAAAGCATTCTGAAGATCTCAAAATATCKTACAAATATTTCTAGCTGCAGTAAAATAAAAATAATAAACATATTGCACTATAGTTCATTTTAATGAGTTTAATTATTTTTCTAAGAAAACACACAAATCAAAAATCAAAATAAAATGAAAGGTAGCAGAAGAAGAATAAATCTTTCAATGTCTGCCCCTTTTATCCCCGGAATATACAGTGGTTTGCAAAAGTATTCATACCCCTTGAACTTTTCCATATTTTTGTCACATTACAACCA